GCGCTCACTTTCTCTGCCTCAGCTTTACGAAGGCTACGAATGAGGTCTTCTTTGCTCCACTTCAGCAGCTCCTCATCTGACACCTTGCAGAGGTCTTCAGCCGGCCCCGCTCCGCAACTTTCTGATCCCGTCGAGGTTCCGACTCCACTGGCGGCCGCCACTTTGGACATTTTGGTGGGTGAAGTTTCTTCCTGAGGTCACAGCAAGGAAGGCTCAGGTTCTGGGAAACCCTCAAGCTTACTCCGGGTGCCCCTGCAGAGGAATGAGGCAAGGGTACCCTTGCAGTCCCTTTCTTTAAGGAGAACCAGCCCCCAATCCCTTGAGGGACGTTAAACAACCGCTTCCCTCGACCAATACAATAATCGCTCCTCTGTGCCAGGTAGACGCCTTCAGAATCCAGCAAGTGGAGCTTTCTAGTCAGCCGTTCCTTCTCCCAAACTTTCTTCTGCCGCTGCCCTCAACTCGCTTTCCCTCACTTTCCACCTGTGGCTACGGATCTTCCTCCCTGGAGAGCGGGCAAGGCAAGGAGGGGAGTTCTGGCAGTTTTACCGCCCAGGGAAACAGAGGGACAACCTTCAGCCTTAGTTTAATCCTTCCTCGAAAGTCAACTAGGAATTCTGCAGTTTCACAGAGACACCTTCGTGCAAGGAGGTCTTCTTTCGGAGGAGTGGGGAGACTGTGCCCTCTTTTGCAGAGGAATAGCCACACGTACACTTAAGTGACTGTGACAAAGGATAAAAAGTGGCATCACAGCTTGTAAAAGGCAGTATTCGAGCCACCCTCCAGAAGATCCTGGAAAGGCGGGCGCCCTCAGACACATCCAGTGAAGTGCAGTGGGAACGGCGGGTTATTTGCCCCACGAAGAATCAGCACCCGAAGCGCTCGTTGCAAAACAGGTCCCATTGGAGGTGGTAGCTATGTCTTCCCCAGATTAACAAGGCGCACCCTCTCCCCTGGAGAAGGCAGGGCAGCGGGGAGTGGCACGATTTGCGTATAAAGACCCCAGAACGGAGGAGAGAAGCAAGAGAAGCGCAACTATCTGGCCGGCGCACCCAGGCCGAGCACAGACCGAGAGTAACGGGTGGGGGCGGAGCTGATGTGCAATGAAGTGCCCTCACCAAACCTCCGGGATAAACGGGCTGGGTGGGTCCTCGAGCAGATGCTGCGATGTGTGTGGCTGGGCTGGCGCAATCATCCCCCGGCGCCCCTCCTCCCAAGAAAAAGCCCCCGCACAAAACCTTCCTCCCCTTCAGCAGCCGCTCAGGAATAACGGCGCATCTTCCACACGCCTTTTCTCAACTGGGCTCGTCCCTCGCAGCCATCCTCCGCCTCAGGAGGAAAGCCTCCTACCGTTTCCACTTGTTCCTCTGCAGGGCGCCTTGCCTCGCCCCTACAGCCCGTGCGGACGACTCTTTTCAGCGGCGTCGAGAGCTGTTGCTGAACCCGACGCTTCTCCGAACTGCCCAGGGCGTGCATTTGGGACTACGGTGGCCCCGCACACGCAGCGCGGGCGGCATTGCTCACTTTGCAAAAGACAAGTGGAGCGAGCGCTAGGAGGCTGGCTCTTTTCACCCGGGAGGCGGCAGGACACGTGCGAGCCTGGAGGGAGGGAATAAACCGGTCGCGTGGAGCAGCTCGAAGGCGCCACCTCCCGGCGACCGCTGGCATATTTTGAGCCCGCGATACTTAATACCGGTGTTTGGGCTTGGATGTTTTTTCATTTGCAGCGTTATATAAAGCTGTCGGTCGGGGTTGACGTTCATGGCGGCGGGGAGTCTGTGGTTCTGCTCTGCAGAATGAGTAGGAGGACGTGCCGCAAGGCCGGCTTGCAAGCCTGCGAAGTCAATGAAGTAATGCAAATCTCCACGGGAGGAAGAATAGTGCCATCAAACTCCCACTAAAAATGACCCAACATGGCAGCTTTCTTAGCACCCAAAGTTCAAGTCATTGTTATTCCCCGTTCAGAGCCCGGGGGGTCTGACAATTATTCTGGCACTCCAAGAAATGATGTCATTTCTTTGCTGTGGAAGAAGGAAAGAAAGAAAAGTCCTGGAGTTGCGCTCTCGTGTGTTCGATCTTTTCTGTGCCTTGGAGGTAGCTTTTCTATAGGCGGTTTGCTGCCGCCTCTGCTAAATTCCTGGGCAAAGGTGCAAGACGCCGCTGTTGAGTGAAATTCTTTATCTCAGCAAGGTTTTATGTCTTTAAAAGACGTTTTAAAATGTTTCCGTCTTCCAAAAAATGCAAATCAGTGGTGCGCAATAGCCAGTCCTCAGTGCTTTAAAGTGCCAGATCTTTCATTTATCCATGCATGAATGACCTTAATTGTTTCTTGTGATGTCTTTCCATCACCCTAACTGTGAGAGATACATAACATCTTCATAGCATCACTCAGCCGTTGTCGAAATTAGGATAAAGCCTGTCCACATTACTGTTATGTTGGCACAATTATACTTGGATGACTGTAGAAGATGCTATAAATCATTTGTGCAGAAATGAACGAATCCACCAGACTCCCGCACAATTGCTGGCTTCTGTGACAAAGCCACAGACCTGTTTTATGCATGTGTATATGTATTTTGTGGCAATGTTTATCCATGGAAAAGAAAGCTATGTTGAGAATTTGGGAGTGAACTTGTGAGGAAGCTATTTAAATGACTTGAAAGCAATGGAGCAGAAGCACTTAGTGGCAAGTGAAGCAGAGTTGAAGAAAGGAAAGGTGTAGGAGCATGAAAATTCTGGTCTTTCTACCTAATGCCTCTACAATACTTAATCACAAATGGGCCAAACAGGACAGTCAGAAAATAGTTCTGAAAACAACAGTATCTTCTTGCCTGTTAAGAAGTGCTAGAAGAAGCTGGGAATCATCCCATTCTGAAAACATGTCTCTATCCCATTTAATGAACAGCTTTATTCAAAGTGCAAAGCAGGTTTATGATTTCATTGCAGAGACAGTCTGAAGGAGATTAATTCATGGCATAGTAGAGATGCAGGTGAAGATCCAATGAACTCAAACCAACACTGATTGTGGAGAATTATGAGGAAAGAGGTAAGAAACGGTAAGATAAAGAGTTATGGTTTTCAGCTGTTCTTGCAAGTTGCTGAAATTTACCATCCCATTTTCCAATGGATGATTCCTGGGAAGGCTGGTCCCTGCAGGTTGCTTTTAGCCTAACCAAAAGGCTTTCAGATTTACATGGCTATCACGCATATGGTTTCAGGCATTAAAATGAATGGAGCAATTGAAGCTAGGCAGGGTGTGGGAGGATAAACTAAAAGGGCCAGTGAGACATACGTAGCTGTCCACCACCTTTGCCTTGGTGTTCCATCACAATTTGTTAGATTAACACTGAGAGATCTACAGCAGTTCGTGCATTGGCAGTCCTGGGACAGAATGACAGTCCTTAGCACAAGTAGGCTAAACATGGGAGCCAGTCCAATAGTGGCCTGGTTAGGAGTGGCAAAAAAGGCAGGTGTTGTCAAGCAACTGGCAGGCTATAATACTTGACTGAAATTTTGTCTGATCCTACAAGGAAGATGGAAATAGGCAAGAACTGTTATCTAGGCAAAGGGGGCTGAAACATTTTTTAAGTCCAGAGCAACACAATAACATTTGAAATGAGATGCCTACTGGCGGGCTGAAACATTTTTTAAGTCCAGAGCAACACAATAACATTTGAAATGAGATGCCTACTGGCGGGCTGAAACATTTTTTAAGTCCAGAGCAACACAATAACATTTGAAATGAGATGCCTACTGGCTAGGGAATTCTGGGAGTTGAAGTCCACACGTCTTAGTCACCAAGGTTTGAGAAACACTGCACTGGGATATAAGAAGGAGGGAGGTACAGCACAATCAGACTTGCCAGATTGTGTTATTGTAGCCAGTCTCAATAAATATAGTCTTAGCCTTCTATGCAGTTGATTTCCTGGCCGGATCTAACTAGGGGGATAGGTCATGGATATGTCCATATTGCTTTCGGGGCAACAGTATGGAAGTGGTTTGCTATTACTTTCAGGTGTTGTTTTCAGTTTCCTAATCTGATCTGCAGCCCTGAGAGTTCCTGGGGCTTGCACATCAAAGTACTAAGTAGATCCAACCCTGCTTAGTTTTCCCAAGATCAGTTGGAATCAGCTCAGTGCCCCCTCTGTTGGTACAACCCTATATGGTATAATCCTGCAGTTCTAATAGGGATACAAACAAGGGTTGAACTCCAGTTCTCATAGCTTAATAAAATCACAGCACTATACATTATTGCTTCTAAAGACTCCTAAGCCATGTAATTTTGTTTTCATTTATTCATGCTTTTTTTTCTTCCTTAGACTTGATTGGGGACTCATTGTTCCTGATGATTTGACAATCTTTTCTTTCATTCTGTCTAAATATCTACATCCCCAGCACATTATAAATAATACATGCTTCTTATAATCTACATTTGTTCCCAAATACTCCACTGAGAGTTGCAGAGTCATACTTTATCACTTGTGAATCAAGATGAAAATTAATTCAATGGAACAAATCAAAAGTTTAAGAAAAAGTCATTTGAGCATTATATCCAAAGTAACTATTAGACTTGCAAATCATTAGCAGTTTTGGCTCCTATATCCTTAACAACTTTATCAAATGCAGGATTGCCAACTGCCACTAAATTTATTGACTGCCAATTTAAAAAAGAATTGTAAAAATTACTTGTCAGTAAATTCTACTCTTGCTGGCTGTGTGGTGCTAACAACTTTATAGCTATTGTATTTCCCATAGGTAGAATGCAGACAATGTTCAGTGTTTGTTTATTTTTTACCTATTTCAGGTTATCGTTTTATTTATTTATTTATTTTGCATGGTGCATAGTAAGATACTCCTGTCTATCCAAATTCATCTGTAGTCAAAGTGCAGCATAAAGAGCAGGAATTTATAGCCATCTTGAACAGAAGGCCCTAGTTTGAACTGCCTTCTACCTCGTAAGAA